CACAACATAAGAGTACGCCCCCCCTCTCTAGCTGATGACGGTGAACACCAGCCCCCCCTCTTGTAAATCACACTGGCGCCCCCACAACTCAACTTCATCACTGTTGCTGTGTGGTAAACGAGATGAGCCAATGGTAACAAAGTAACAACGCACGAGCCTGCTGCAGGTGTATATCTTGAAACAAACAAAAAAAACTACATTCCACCTCCCGATCTAAAGCGGGGACGACCACTGCTGTGTACCAGCAGCAGCCTACACGACTGGGCTCTAAAAACTCTATTGCACCTCGACCACCGGTGGGCATTTGCACAGGACTTCGGCTCACCAGCAACGGGGTGGAACAACGTAAGGCAGCGGAAGGATCCCGAATGCTTGCCCTCAATCTGTCGGAGAGTATCACCTGCAGCGGACTGGGCTTTTTTCTGTAGGCTGACTGGGGGATGACTGCTCGTACGTACGTGAACCACGAATTCCTCACCCCGCACCCGTCAAGAGCTGTGAGGGCAAATGGTCTCCATCTGCGGCGGCTATGTTCTCTGGGTGAGTTCCTATGGCAAAGTTCTCTCTGGCCAGGTCTGCGGAGAACGGGTAGAGCAGGGCGAGAGCTGATGGAGAGGGCAGAGAGCAGGGAGCCGAGCTGGAGCCTAGGGCCCAGTGTTGCGACACGCCTTCTCTCATTTTTTGGGGCTGGCATGAATGGCGACCACGGGCCGATCAGTGCCTCGCTCGTCAAGAGGAAATACATGGTGGTGGTTGTTGCTGTTGCTGTTGCTGTTGTTATCGTTGCCATGTCTTGCAACCGTGGAGTATATGCACTGCTGTAGGAGGATGGATGCCGCTTTTTCTGGCGGACGGTATACAGTGCCCGTACCCAGGAACCAACGAAAGAAGAGCAAAAAATTGTACAAACGAAGTGTTTTACAGTACCGCGGCCATACATATCCTTGACTGCTGTGGTAGCGCTCTGAGACCTCGATTAAATACACAGGAGAGCAGGGAGGTGATACTGACGGGTAGGTGGTACAGTCGACTATTAAATCAAGTTCCTTTTCCCGAACGTGTCGGCGGTTCCTGATTTACGTGTAATCACAGTACACCGGCTCTTCTCTTTTCTGAGTCCTGGCGGCGCCAAACACGTCCCCGACACCTATCACGGATCGATCGAATCCGACCAACGCGGCATGGCATCGCCTTGGAGGCGTCACGCCGTGAGGGGTCAAAATACTGGTAATGTATGCATAGTATACTGACGGAGGGGTCCATGGCTGATGGCAATAGGAAAGTCGGGAGCAACAACAACAGCAGCAGCGTGGCGCTGTGGGCGGGAATCTTGTCGCCGGTCTTCCTGACTGAGCCCGTCTCGCTGCCGTCGATGCCTCACGGAGCCAATACTGTTGTGGGGACGCCGGCAATGACAAACGAAGCTCAAGGAGCTCCGTGGGGAGTAGTGAGGAAGCACCAGGCCACCGAGTCGCAGCTGATTATTGTCTGGACGCTGCCCTCGGTTGGAGGAGTTTGCTGTGAGTAAGTGTTCGGCGTGGGGGCCATAATTCGTCAATCACGTCCATTCAACGCGGGGTCCTGCCTATAACACTGTACCACACCCGGCTACATCCCGTCCTGATTGCATAGGATTGATGGTATGGTATGTCGAGCTGAGACCTATACTACTACCTCGGTTATGTTGAACGGCACCCGTCCCCCCTACCGGCGCCTCGTTCGTGCATGGAGAACCTATACCTACTCCCCCGGCACCATGTGTCCATGTGTGGTGAGTCGGTGGTGAGCAAACGCCATCCAATACCCCCCACCTATGTATCACACTCCGCCCCCGACGGTCGCGAGGGTCGAAGGTTCGATGGCACAGTATCGGACACGACTCCTGGACCCGGAGTCGTTACGGGCATCACCGTTGCACGACTAGCCAACGTCTTTTCAACTCACTCTGTGAGTCACAGTCTTTGACTAGGCAAGAGCGACGGCAGAAGTAGTGGACATGCTCCCACCGCCACACAACCCCGGCATAATATCTCGGCGTATTCTCACCATTTGTTTTGACATTGATCGCATGGTCCAACCAATATATCCCTGCGTCTCAACTCGGCATGTGTAAAACACCGCTTTTCATGCAAGCAGAATGTAGCAAAAAAACATTTGATGTTTTGCAACGTTTCTTGCAACTTTCCTCATGTACGCATGTATGTACGCTCAGTAGGAGAGCAAAAGTTGCGCCAATCGTTATTTTTGTAATGAGCCGCGGAGCGCGAAGCGCAACATTTTTCCCTTCGTCCACAGGAGGGAAACAAAGGCTCGATGTATCGGCCAATGTTGAGCCGCACGATACCAGGGCCCCAAAAGTTGATTTCCGGGAAGCCGATATAACGCACCTACCTTTGGAACCAGAACGAGATTTATAGGGCACCGATTGGCGATCTGTTTGCTTCTGAGGAAGAAGAAAAAGAGCTCGCTTTACGTCACACCGGGTTGGTCGTGCTCCGAAAGCAGATGGCCGTGCTACACAAGCGGTTGTGCCCTAAATTCGTAGGAGATCTTGCTCCCCAACCCCGGGGTTTCTACGCGAAAAGGCGTGCACTAAAGAGGAGATCGCGCGCGCGATTCAAACCTGGATAAGAAACGGAGGCAAACAGAGACAACAACACCTCCAAAAATCACATCACCGCTGGGACACTGATCCGAGACCAGCTATCTATGAAAACCAGTAGGAGCCGGGCCTATACCTGTGCGCCGTGGGTATAGTCATGCGCCATGTGTAATCTGGCGGGTGCATTGGTGATGAGTGGTCCAACCGACTGTTCCAGAAACAACAGCAGACCGATGATCACAAACGAACAACACACAACATAACGCACCTTCCCAAGTCCAGAGATCGCACCTACCATCGAGAGAAACGGCGAGGGCGTGAGGGTCTACTGCTGCTGTGCGTTATCAGGATTGTTCCCCGCGGGATCGGTTCGCGTTGCGTACTTGCGCCGTGCTACTGACTGCCTTCGCAAAAGCCGTGCCCTACCTGCTGCTGCTGCTGGTGTCTCTCGCTTCAAAGTCATGACCATGAACGGCTTTGCTGTTTTTGGTTCATGCTGTAGTATTGTCCCGTGATGTATGATACAATATGTAGACTGTTGGCTTTCACTTGGCGGGAAACTCGGAAAGCTTGAGACGAATGTGGCGGGCAAGGTGTGAGCCTGACGTAATGTTTGCCTTCTGTCTTGTCACAAGCCTATGTCTACGCTGCTGGTCGTGCTCCTCGACGGTGTGATGTGTGATACGCTCACCGCCAGGTATATGCCGCATGCGTGCCTCTTCAAAATGTCCGGATGTGCGTGTTTACGTCCGCACAGCGGGAAGACTTAATTTTTTTTTTCTTCGTGGGTGTGTGCATGTGCATCAACGGGAAGAAACTACCTCATGTATAGTGAAACCTTGAACGGGGGCCGCACATACAACCATCGTCGCGCCTTGCCTGTCGCACCCTTGTCCCTCTGGTGCACGCGAAGCTGCACCAAAAACGATTCACTCTGCCGTGTGTCGGGCTTCGTGCACCATCCGCATCGCAGATAAGACCACGGCAAGGTATTGAGTCGCTACCCCGCGGCTCATTACCCCCCCCCTCTAGTATTTTCCTAGTGCGACCCAACGAATCCATCCCTATATCTAAGAAAACGAATCTAAGATAGACTACAATATATCGAAAGCGTCAGTTTCGAAACTGTTTCTCAGGAGCAAAACGCTGCAATCTGGAGGAAACGTTGTGCAACTTTTTTCACGACGAAGGTATCGAACAAAGTTTCGTGCCAATCCACGCCAAGCTCCTATCCCTCCCACCACGAGTCGACCCCCTCTCCAGCTTCGACTGTGACAAGGCCGTGACCACCGATATCTCGATGAAAATTTAACGAGTTGCCTCATGAATGGTATTTGGAAGGAGGTGATGCCATGGGCTGATGGGCATTGCCAGGGCGCCGTGAGGTGCCGAATGCGCCGGGAAAAAAGGTTGTGTTGGCTCAACGACCGTCAACGGCCGCGAAGCGTTTAGTTCAAGTTCGGTATTTTTTACCGCCACGGGTTTGGTTTTCCGCCGATAACTTTCCGAAAGAGGAACCAACAGCAATAGAGAGGCCACTCGGCGGGAGGTAGCTCTCTGCTCCATCTTTCATGCCCAAAGTTTGGTGCTGTGGGGTTTCGTATGCATCGGGCAAAACGTATTGGTTGACCCAGAAATATCCACGTCAGAGAGCGATTGGCTCAAGTTCGCGGGGACTCTGTGCTCATAGGTTGGTTTTCCAGCGATAACGTTTCGAAGGAGGAAGCAACAGCAACAGAAATACCACCCCGAGGGAGCTCGCTCCACTTGGCATCTTTCTGGTACCGGGTTAGATGCCTCTGGGTATCGTGAGTGTGGAGAAAAAAGTTGCAACTTCCCTCTCCCGCACGCTGTGGCCGGTTTCTTCGCGGTTGGGTATGAAGGCATGCGCCTGCTCCTCGCCGTTCCTACGAAAACAACAAAGGAGCACACCTCCGCATTCCGCCAGCCCCGTGCACCAAACTTTCTTCGTTCCAAGAAGAGCGTGCACCAAAATTTCCATTGAAGAAAGTTGCCGACCAAAAGATGCTAAAAGGCATACAGCTTTTTATGCAACTTCCTGCTCCCATACAAAGCGGTGTAACGAACCGCCACAACCTTGCATGCCGCATACTAGCGGACCGCGCCATACAGGGAAGTACATTGGCATGCATGCATACAAGATGAATGCATGAGCGCCACATATGTTGAGTACAACACGAGCGTAAACCTGGGCGCATCTCCTGAAGCACCATCCAAACCATGACAACGTTCCCGAATACTGTAATTTGCCAAGTGGGCCAGGACGCACTTCACAATGTGGCCGGGAAACACATCTATCCTAAACCACATCACAACGACCTTTGAGAACGCGATAGGACCACATGTCCAACAATCTCTCACAATGCAACCTTTGGTCCTACACACGCGGCTTGCCGGAAATGGGACATCCCTGGCCTTGCGTGCTGGGTACAGAACTCCGGCCTGTTGCTGCCGTCTTTCCCATATGACGCGTGCTTGGTGCAGCCTGGATGGCCGCACCTTTGTTGATAGCGACCATGCCTTGCTCCGCGTGTGGAGCACAAAAATCCGGCCTCTTGCTGCCGACTTTACCATATGACGGCCGCTTCGTGCAATCTGGGTGGCGGCACCTCTTGTTACGGATGTTGACCATGCCCTGCTGACTGTGCTGCGCGCAGAAGTCCGGCTTCTTGCTGCCGTCCTTTCCATATGACGGCCACTTCCTGCAATCTTCATGGCGGCACCTCCTTTTGAAGATATGGACCATGCCCGGCTGGCTGTGCTGGGCGCAGAACTCCGGCCTCTTGCTGCCATCTATACCATATGACGCGTGCTTGGTGCAGCCTGGATGGCCGCACCTCCTGGTGACAATATGGACCATGCCTTGCTCCGCGTGTGGGGCGCAAAACTCCGGACTCTTGCTGCCGTCTTGACCATATGACGGCCGTTTCGTGCAATCTGGGTGGCGGCACCTCTTGCTACAGATATCAACCATGCCCTGCTGGCTGTGCTGGGCACAGAACTCCGGCTTCTTGCTGCCGTCCTTTCCATATGACGGCCACTTCCTGCAATCTTCATGGCGGCACCTACCCTTGACGATGTTGACCATGCCCTGCTGGCTGTGCTGGGCGCAGAACTCCCGCTTCTTGCTGCCGTCTGTACCATATGACGCCTTTTTCGCGCACCCTGGATGGCCGCACCTTGTGTTGGCCATACTGACCATGCCCTGCTGGCTGTGCTGGGCGCAGAACTCCCGCTTCTTGCTGCCGTCTGTACCATATGATGGCCGTTTCATGCAACCTAGATGGCCGCACCGCTTGCAGACGACGTCGATCATACCTGGCTTGGAGTGCTTTAGACAGAACTCCGCCTTTCTGCTGGCGCGATTGCCATACGATCGCAGCGTTGTGCAGCCGTCCGCATGACAGGTTCGTCGTCTCTTGCCGAGGTGGCCGGCGGTTGGAGTTGTTGACTGCAGGGACGTACGGTTGAAAAGATGTTCGTGCAGAACCCATACTTGAGTGTTCAACGGGTCATTTTCAGAGCAATAACGTGAGCGACATCGGACAGCAGCTAGATAGAAAGCAAGACTTCATACAACACCGCATTTCTGCCTCCCTTTGAGATATAATATCTTGTCCACGCTCTGTGTTTTCTAAGTTGATCGACGACATGTTGAGGCTTTAACTTCCTCTCGTGCGAGACTGGCAGCGACAAACCCTTTGACGAGTCGCCTTCGTCTGGATGCAACTGCGTTGGGTTAGTTCGGCTGCCGCTTCTAGCGCGTGTTCCTCCGCAGTACGCTGACACTTGTTGTCTCACCGAATATTTTCGTCGTGCGCCGTACGATTCGAAACCTGCCTGAAGAAACGGTGTTCATCGAAGTTTTGGGAGACCTTGCCTCCCTTCTTCAACCCCACTCGGAATGAATCGTGTTCCTCTTTACACCCAGTGAAAAGTGCTTAGCGGTTGTGTGTATTTGAGGCTTCTTGGTCACGAGCAGAAGTACCAGCGCGCTGCATACTCTTGATGTATCCCGCTTGTCTTTCAACCAACTCCGGGTTGCCGCGAGATACTCAAACGACTAGAGGTCCCAGCGGTCACGACCGACATTCTAAACGTTTCGGAACCAATCGAAGCGATTTCACAGCGGTACCGTGGCATGACTCTTCGATCTAGATCATCCAAAGATGTTGAGATTGGTTGGAAACCTTCGACCACCAGACCTTTGAGAAACCGGCCCTGCTCGAAAACATCACAGGAAACCTATTTTCAGGGGAAGCGGGCGTAACTGGCATTGGCTTCATGAAACCGATGAAAAAAAAATGTTATAACCGGGACAAAATAGCGAGTCGGCCGTGTACATACTCGTAATCCGGCTGAAATGGAACAAGCGACGTGGTTTACGCCCATCTTCACCCTACCCTGTAACGAAAACGTCCGGGGTATCGCATACCGCGGCCTTCTTTTTTTCGATATATCTCGGCAACTGTATCGAGTCTCTGAACTGTACCGCCCTCACAGGAATGGGGTTTCCATTGCTCCCTTCTCTACCAAAAACTCACTTGCTGTTCCGATCAAAGGACACCAATATACGAACCTTCTAGCCCCAACCATATGGGTTCTGAAACCCGAAACCCGAGACACGCTTTACTGTTGAACACAGCATGGTTGACACGCCGATCGGCGCAGGACATTCATGCAGGATTCCAAAAAACAATTGGGGGAGGTGTGGTGGTAGAGAGAGGGCGAGGAGAGACATGCACGTCCCAACTACATGAGACATCATCAAAAATAGGCGAGTGAGGGGGGGAAAGTTGCTGTGGTAGACTCGTCTTGACTGCTCGGGGATGGTAGTCAAGACTAGTCAATATGTCCACGCTGACAGCTGCAACACAGACAACCATGATGTTGGAACGAAGGTCGCCTGAAGTCAATCCCGTCCACGTGGTGATCGAAAACCTTTCGTAGGTTGTGTGAGTAGAGCGATGGTATGGCTTACAAACATAGCGTGCGTTGGAATGTGCCACCTCTGTAGGAAATGTGTGGCGTATCCTACATCAAAACCATCCCACGATGATTCGTTGGCTGTATGTTTCTGTCCGCTCCACTACACATCCACCCATTGCTCTTTTGGAATGCTGCAAGCCATGCATGTTCTGTCCACGTGTCAACCATTCTTCGTTCCACGTTCGTTTATGTTGTGTCGGATTTCGGGTGCTATCATGTGCTCGGAGCTAGAAGATTCGTGTTCCATATCCTTGGTTGGGGCAGAAAGTGCTTTTTATGGGAAAAAAGGGAGATGAAAAGATTACATTTTCTGTCAGGGCAGGGTGCACAATCAGGGTACAGTTGTAGAGCAAAAAATCCACCGCAGGGTGCGCCTTGGGCCGTTCGTGAAAGTAGAGGGTGAAAGTGGGAATCGATCAATCAACCAGGCTCATTTCACGCTTGATAAAAAATCATGTGCCCACCTGAGTCGTTTATTGACCATGTCGCGTCCTTTTCCCCAGTAGTGATGCTTCAAAACACTATCGCGCGCGAGGCAGAGACTCATGGCCCCAAAATATGGAATAATGGCGACGTCGGTCTCGCGGTATCATTACAGTGTTACAGACCGCGCGCCGTGCACCGGCTGATCACAAAAAAGTGATCACATCCTCAACGAAACAACAACCCCTACGGCGCTCTCTAGCTGCGGGATCCCCTGACGGTGTGTGTGACACACAGCCATGTACACACCCGACACCCAGAGGGTAAACATTGAGACTGCGGGTGGCCCCTTGCACTTGTTGCGTGGCTATGCAGACTGTTCAAAAACGAAAATGAAATCTACACTGCGGAAAGGCTTGCCAACTAGCAGGGCCGTAGATCTTGAGTGGGAGATCTTGGGAGACAACGTGATACTGGTTTAGAAGCAATTTGGAACAACAAAACGCTGAAATCCCAGCGTAGTGCGCGGTAGCTGTACTTGCAACACCCGTATTTCGCACTGCCCATCACCTTTCAGCGTGGTAGGGATGCCCACTGGCGGCTGTCCAGACGCTGTGCCGCTGGAGGGCCTTGGCCATATCCCCGAACTTGCGCTCGCCTGGCGTTGCCTGCAGCGGGTCATCCGACAACAGCAAAGAATGGGTCCCGTTGATGCCGCAAGCATTGTCTCCATCCTCAAGACGATTCTGGAGCAGCATAGAATACTCAACCCATATGAACATCGTCGACTGGGTTTAGGCGTCTCGACTAGGCTACGCGCCGACCAGAAGGCCGGGTTGAGGTCAGTCCCAGGTTCCGTTTTGGCGATACTCCGAGCATGTAATATGGTTTCATGATATAAAAAAAACAGCGGGCCAGGACGGGAGAGGAAGAGAGAGAGAGAGAGAGAGAGAGAGAGAGAGAGAGAGAGAGAGAGAGAGAGAGAAGAACAGTGCACAAAAAGAGACAAGTGTGCTTATGCAGACGCAACGGCTACCACCACCTATAGACCACGAGGCCGGCCTGCCACAGGGTGGTCTTGCGACTCGTAGAGTCATGTAAGAGTTGTTGGGTGGTAGCGTGCGGGCAGAGCAAAGTAGACTTGCAGGCCTTTAAATGGTCAGACCTCAACTTGCCTGAACTACTCTCTTTTCAGAATATTCCAACGAACAGCTTGAAACTGTCGGTGAGAGAGAATTGTGAACCGGACCTAGAAATGATACCCTTGGAACCCTTTGCCCCACAAGCACACCAGCACACACCTACTCTATAGGCTTGCCAACACCCAACGTGCAGGGTTAGGGCTAGACGGCGGCAGCTCCATGGCTTGCTACCATACCAGTTTGAAACGATCAGTCAAATGATCAGATACGCCCAAAGACTCTAAGGATAAACTCCGGTCATCCGTGGTATCTGGCCTTTCGACGACGGATTCAATACACCACTTGTTAGTGGGGAACCGGCAAAGACTATACAGGCTTGGGTGCCAAGATGGCCCCCAGGGAGCAACCCACAATGCATCCCACTACATGAGGGCGCCTTTGCCCTGACGTGTACTGGCTTAATGGGATGGATTTACCCCGGCCCGGCCGTGTGCGAAAGTTGACCAACAACGTGGTGAGAATAGCGGCCACCTTCATCGACGCTCGTACAGACAATGCTGGAAAGTTCATCAAGCATCGGTAGTTGAGCAAAATGCACGCACTCTTAACTGCTAATGGCATGATGCGACAAACATCAAAGAAGTCTAATTTACATGGCAAGAAGACACAGACACGAACGCTAGCTTACCCTCTCTTCGTGCCCTTCCTCCTGTTCCTGCTCCTCCTCCTCCTCTTCCTTCACCAGCCTGCCATCTACCCCGGGAGTGGCCTGTTGGCGTCATCCAACACAACACGGTCATCGCATCGTGTGCTTCCAAAGACAGTGGGAAAACAATGGCCAAAATGCTGGAGTAAAAATTCGCAGTGAGGGGAGAATGGTACCCATCGAGTATCGAAAATCGCAAAGGGTAATAAGCGCTTTCCTGGCTGCGTGCTGCCTCCAAACAGTCTCCACAGAACTTAACTGTGTGGCGGCATAGATCAGCACTTCCGTTGTGATGGCGATGTTGGTGGAGTGAGACAGGCAGGGAGCCGTAACGATCTTATACCCGGCACAACTCAACCTTCTGACGGTTAATAATTCGCTGGGGAATTCTTCTGCCAAACAGACGCCAACCGACACGTAGTCAATATCACAAACATCAGACGCCGCTGCACATTTGCCAAGCGACTACCGTGGAGACGATGAGAAGGCACTTGGGGCTTTCCATCCTTAGGGGGAAGACGCGGGGGGGGATGCCGAATTTCCGGCAATGCGTGGGGCCAAACAGCCCCTCGTCAGCAGTGGCACGCAAGGCTCACCTTGGCTGCAACAGAAAAATCACCACTCTCGCCTTCCGAACCAGCAGATGACATCGAGCCTGCGTGCAACTTGACACCGAATGCAACAAGCAAGGCACCGTGGTTTCGTATGTGATAGAGGTTTTGCAAAGACGTCGTGTAGATGGCACAGCAGCACTAAACGGCAGTATAGAACACGGGCTGTCATTCACGACAGGGCCAAACGCAGTTCTCTCTGCCTTCTCCTTTGTTTCCCGGCCCTTTTCTTACCTGAACCCTTGCAACCTCTGTTGTTGCGACTCGGGCTTCTCCTGAACGAGGTGACCGAAACCACATCAGTACCACCAGTTAGGTGGTACAAGGGTCAATCGACTGAAGGGTAGCGCATTAGAGGTGCCGTTAGCTCTTACCAAAATACTCGCACAAACCTACAGACTGCATGCGAGAGATCATCCTTCCCGTAGCCCATCAAAAAACACTTCAACGATCTGTGTGTACACAAACGCTGAGCGTACAGCCGTAGGTTTGGTGGGCAAAAAAAGCAGCACAGCACGAAGGTACACCAATCGTCCAGCAACATAAACTAGTCGGTCAAAAGCACACCTGTCTGTCACAATCGGCGGGTCAATGTTTGATCCCAAGGCTGCTGCTGAAGCTTTAGCCGCCCAGGCGGCCTCGACCGCCGCCCTTTCCGCTGCCGATCGTACGAGGCTGCTGCAGCAGTGACGTGGAGTTTTACAAGATGTTGGTGAAACCATAGTTCCCAGGCGAAGGGCAGTGTAGGTCATGGAAAAAGGCATCCCATTGTAGTCCACCACACCAACATCTTAAGTACGGGCAAAATACTTGCTCTGTTTCTCGGTCTACAGCCCCACAGCACGGTCAGCCACCGGGAAAAAAGATAAGTTTTTTTTCACCGCAAAGCATAATTGCCTACAAAAGGGGCGACCGAAATCAATTTTATCCGACACCTACTGCGTACCCATTTTCTTCTTTGGGAGGTTTTCGGGGGGGGAGGGGGGGTAATGGTACTCTAGTTCTTAGATAAAGCAAAGGGGGCCCGCGGTGGGGAACCCATTTTTCTTTGGGTTGCCCTATGCGCGAGCTAGGATTATCTCTTGCGAACCCCGGACTTATGATCACACAAAACGGGCTCGTAACACATCACGAGCGCACCTAACCCACTCAAAGTATCCGTATGACGCCGTCACTAGTAGAACACTATGTGTCCCCCAAATGTGCAGCTTGCGTGAAGTGGGCTCTAAGCCCCATGAGAAGCTAAAAGCCGAACACTTTTTTCGGCCCGCCCGGGGAGGGGCGGGGGGATACTTAGGTGTGTGGGATGATCCTTTAAAAGACTTTTGTTGCAGAGCGGCCCGGTGCTTTTTGTTTTGCAAAAAACAAATTGTTTAGAGGGGTCTTGATTTACGTATGTATGCGCGAAAAAAAAATTGACCGCGGGGGGCGGAAAGAACAGCCATGTACGTCTGCCTGCCTGTGTGACCCAAGCTCGAAAAATACTCAGCAGACTGGAGCCCATTTCACCATCTAGGCATCAAATTGCCAAATTGCAATCTAAGACATGCGCACAACAAGTAAGATCTTACCCGAGCTGTCCCAACTGTGGTCGGTCCCTCGAGTTACTAAGGCATCTGCGCCGAACTGGAAGTCGGGAAGCAAGCGTCTCCGCCAAAACCGAGGCAGGCGTTATTTGTTCTTGGTTCTCCGCTGCTGCTGCTGTGCGCTCAGCAGCTACCGCGGCAGCCGCTGCTGTGGGCAAGACACACACTACAGAAACAAGGAACATGGACAAAGCGGGCGGGAGACACACACACACACCACCGGGAGAGCGAGGCGGGAGGGTGTGCCCTTCCTGTGGTTAGCTATCGGCGGAGGAAGCGAGATGAGAGAAAGAAACGTTTGGTTGTTGTGTTGGTGTGCGTTTTGACCTGCGTTTTTTCTTGTCATCATAAGCGAACGAGAGAGAGGACAGAGAGAGGAACACCAACACGATGCTAGACCATTGATGATGCACGTACTGCTGTAGGCTCTACACTTGCGTGCGCGTGCGAGGGCCTACGGTGCCACCTGTGGCTTCCTGGTAGTCTGGTCACCCACCACACGCTTTGGAGTTGCCGGGAACAGGAACAGAGTTTTTTTAATATTTTTTGAGCTGCTAGCTGATGATAGCACCCCCCTCTCTCGAGCTGATGATGAACATCACCCCCCCTCTAAAAGCACGAGCCTACAGATACTGTTTTTCCAACCCAAAAAAACTATTTTCCCCTCCCCGGTCAGTCTACAAGTAGTGCACACTTGGCCTGTGTAGGACTGTAAGACATCCGGGCTCTGACACTCAATACTGCAAACAGCAGCTTGTGGGCATTTGCACAGGATTGCCACTCACCCACTTGACTCACCGATAAATAGGAAGGCCAACGTATGGCCGCCGGAGAATCCCGACTGGTCGTGCTCGACCTGCCGGAGCTTACCACCCTGCAGCACGAAGGAGGGTGTGAGAGACAACACCAGTGCCTGTTTGGTGGGTTGGTGAAGAGGGTAGAAGGTCGAATGCTCGTGCGCTTGTGGAACCACGAACACCGCACCATCAAACGATTCCCTTCTGCGGCGGCTTTGTTCTCCCGGTGAGTTTCTCTGGCAAAGTTTCCTTTGGCTAGGGCTGCGGGGAACGGGCAGAGGACGAGCGCCGGCTAGCCGGTGAGCCGGAGAGAACAGAGAACAGAGAGACGAGAGCCGCTTGTTGCGACACGCCTTCTTTCATTTTCTGGGGTGCTGGGAGGAAGGTGGAGCTCGGCCAATGAGCGCCTCGCTCGTCAGATGTGTAGACCGGTATGCCTGTAGGTAGACCTGGCATCCCGGGTCATAAAAGACCAAGGCAGGCACCCAGTCTATACGCATACAATTGAAAGCACCGCACAGGCTCAGAGAGCAAGTGCATCGAGGAGGACGCCTTCCCAGTTTGACAAAAACCCAGCAGCAACACGACGCCACATGTTGGCTTGAGCGCATCCGTGTGCCACGGTTTCGGTGGTTATCGTTCCCCACGGTTTTCCCATTCTGGAGTCCCACCACGTACAGCAAAGCAGCCGCCATAGCGTGCGCCACATACAGAAGCACGCCCGGTTGTGCTGCTGCTGTTGTTGCTGCTGTTGTTGTTGCTGCTGTCGTCGTCGTCATGGACGTTGTTGTTGTGTTGTTGTTGTTGCTGTTGTTGTTGTCTGCACGTTTTTAGGTTTGTTTGTTGTTTTGTTGTCTGCACGTTGCTAACCTTGCAACACCCGTACTGGTCCGCCTTACACGGTCACCTGCCGTGGTCGCAGCGAAGTACGCCAAAAAGAGTGTCGTTCCCTCTCAACGAAACCCGCAAGGACAGCGTCAGAAAAATCGCGCTACCGTAATTCATCCGGTAGTGGTAGTTCGGTGCCGACGTTCCCTTTTGCAAAAGAATGTCATGAAGAAGAATCGTCAGAGGGGCTACTGTAGGGTAGACTCAAACGAACTAAAAAAAAATAACACAACGAAATATGTAGATTAGACCATTTCTTGCGGTTGTCCTTTTTTATGATCTTTTTCTTTTTTCCTTCTCAAAAAAAGACAACTGGCCGTAGAAGGTCTTCTTACAATGTCTTTTTTCCTCAAAAAAAGATCGCCAGAAAAAGACAACCCGTTTTGGACAGCCCATCCTGTCTTTTTTTGGGGCAGTTTTGGACAAGTGGAGGCTGTCCAAAACTGTTGTCTTTTTTTGGTCACAACAACCACATCACTCGTACCTAGAAACTTGAATCTCTCGACGGCCCACCGCAAACTCTAACGGCGGTCACACGAGTTGTGTCATGTTGCTGGGGCACAGAGTCGGTGGCACCGGCGGTAGCCAATGTTTTTTCAGTGGGCTGGACCACGTGGACAACCCGATGTGTGCGGCAAACAAGAGGCAAACAAACCGAGAGAGCCTGGACGCAGCAGCGGTGGGTCATTTTTCGTGTACTGTCAACCTTGCGAACCCAACTTTTGGGCGTCCTATAGCCTCCTGTTCTGTATCAATCATCACACAAGACGAACCATACGCACAGCTCGTGGCGCATGCCTTTATCATCGCTGTTGCTTGAGCGGGTGGCGAGGGAGTACTGGCAAACCAAAGTTGCGACACGGGCAATAGAGCGACAAAAGTTGCTTGAAGATGCGGCGGATCATTTTTCCCGCTTGTCCACCACTCTCGCGCTCACAATTTCTGAGCGTCCTATAGCCTCCTGGTCTGTATCAGCCACCACACAAGACGGACCATACACACAGCTCGTGGCGCATACCTTTGTCATCGCTGTTGCTAGCGTGGGTGGCGAGGGAGTACCGGTAAACCAAAGTTTTGACAGGGGCACAAGAGCAAAAAAAAATGGTTGCTGGCGCGGTGGGCATTGTTTCAGCGTGCTGTCGACTCTCGGAACCTCCATTCCCGTGCCTCCTATCGCCTTGTGGTCTCTGTCAGCCGCCACCCAAGACGGACCATACACACAGCTCGCGAGGGATAGCTTTACAGTAGGCGCTGCTTCACTCTGTGAGGAGATATCACCGAAAAACCATTTCGGTGGGAAGGTCCATGTATGTGTGACAGCAGCCGTTGCAGAGTCTGTTTTGTTTTTGGTCGGTGAAAAAGGATCGACCAACACGGCCATCTTTTTCGTAGATCCCTTTCTGGGTTGTCCGAAAGGGGGAAAAAAAGATCTGCGAAAAAAGAACCGCAAGAAATGGCCTTAGGCTGACTCTTATGGCTCCCGAAAGTTGGCCCGACGGATTTTTTTGGACGGGCATACCCCCCCCCCCCTGATTTCGACCAAGAGACAGACCTCTCACCACATCACCACAGAGTTCTCCCTCCATGATTGTCGGGTCGTCACCAGAACTTGAAGGCTGTACGCACCACACCTGTAGGCGTCTTTGAAGCTAGTGGTGGCTGCTGTGGGGTTTGTGTGTGCTGAGAAATGTCAATCCATGTGAGAAAAAGTAAGAATCCGCGTGAGAAAAACTAAGAAACCAATTTTTGGTGCCAGTGGTTTCCAAATTTCCAAAATTCCAAGTTTCCATCTTTCCCTCGGCCGCAAATCGAGGTTCAACGGTCTACGGAGTGGAAATTCGGAGATTTGGAAGAAACGATATGCTGTATTAAACGGCTCTGTGCCCAAAGTCTCACCGCGCGCCAGCCCGAGGTCGGCTAACTTGCCCACGGTATGGTGCCCCCCTTCCTTCACCAGGAGGACGTTGATCAACTTGACATCGCCGTGGACGATGCCCTTGGAATGCATAAAATGGATACCATCCATCATCTGGGCTGCGAATCTGAAGCAATTTTGGTCAGTGCGTGAAAATATAGGCGCGGCGTCAGAGAGAACAGTCGGCGGTTTTGAGGCTTGTCCTTGCCTGGATCTGTAGAAGTGAGAGTTTTGGTGGGAAAGGGAGACGCGGGTCACGTGCCTAGGGGGAGGGGGACTGGTGCCGTGATTATCACAGTGATCTGATCATGGACCCTTGCATCCCCACACAGAACCGGAACGCAGGACGATGGGTTTTCGCGCGTCATTCACATAGCCGGTACGGTAGCGGCGAAACAGCTGTGGGCTGAGCTAGATGCACGTTTTTGTGGTAGGTTCACGCAATATTTCTTTTCATGCTTAGAGGATCCTCGTCTGTTCTTCTGCCCCTTCGGACGAGTTTCGTCTTGACCGTCTGCTCTCCCCCTGCTATGTCGGTACGCACGGCACGGGCGAACCGTTGGTACAACGGAATACTCCTGTTTTTTACTTCCGATCGTGACGGGAAAAGCGTCCGCACGGTAGAGCCGGCTCCGGCACCATCGAGGTTTGTTTTCACCCAAGAGCGGTTGAGAAACATGCCCGAAGCACGGCCGCTGTGCGTACAGAGAGGGTGGTGTGTGGTTGGTTCCGGCACTTGCTCACCTCAACAGTTCCGCCGGGGTGTGGATATTGTCGGAGAGGGCTTTCAGGAAGTCCATCTCCCCGAGTTCCATGGCGATGGCTATGGACTCGCCCTTGTCCACGATGGCCTTCACCCCAACGATGGCATGGTGCGGCCCGAGACTGCAATCAGGGAGAAAGCGACCAACCCCCACACGAAAAAGAGCAAGAGTACCACCCGTTGTGGGTGGTTTACAGTAAACAATGGGGGAAAACTACATAGTTCCAACACGGTCCACGTGTTGCTGGGAGGATGGGGGGGGGGGGGCGACGAAGAAAAGCCAGAAAATTCATGCCGATTGTTGTAGAAACCTCGGGCGCACTGTCGAGTGTATCAGTAACGTTTGTGTCCCCCGTCCGCCCTCAGAGCAGCATAGCTCGCGGTAAGTGACATCATTCCTTATTCCGTCGACATCCCGCACTGTACTCCGATTCAAAGTGCACAAATACGACCGAGCATGATGTACGGCGTTGCCGCTTCGCCACGACATTGCTTCAGAGAGCAGAGCCGCCGGAGCTCGAGGGCTTCGCAACAGTAACAATTCACGAATTGGTACTAAACGATTCCGCAGCATGAAGAACTACGACTTATCCTAAGCAAAAACGCGATACAAAGGTTTGAAGGAGCCTCACCGGATGATGTTCCTCGCCTCTTGCCTCAGGCAGACCTTGCTTGCGTCCTGTACGGAAATTCCTGAGACGTATGTAACTGCCCTCGCTCTCTCTCACCTCGAGCTGCTGGTTCTTTAAAATCGCATTTCCAAGGGCCGTCTCCAGCTGCAGGGCGCGGCCGCCATAACCGAAGACACTTTGGTGCCGTCTCTGCCCGCGACAAGGCCGAGCGGAAACCTCGCGCGAAGGAACAGGTGGTGACGTCGAGCGGACGTCTGGCACATCTGTAGAGGTTCTGCGTTGCACCTAACTAACAACGGGTTTCGCATGGATTACGCTGGGAGTTCCACCGCAATACTATAACGGCCGTAGTTTCATATCCTCCGAGAGCGCACTCTAAGCCAAGGCGAGGTTGCAACTTTTTCACGACCGGAAGCCCCAATCGACAGCGTCAGTGGTATTGAATTGATATATGTGGCTATACAGCGCACGCGATGCTGGAGAGAAGGAAGGTGGTGAGCACCAGGCGCGTGCCCTCCGCGACCGACCGTGCGTGGTGCATGCCATAGACTAATGCGATTAATATTGTGAGGAAGACTGAAGACTTGGTCGTTGTTCTTCTCTGCCGTCTTTCCAGAAACAAACGTGGATACGACAGAGGCCACGCCACACCACCGGACGGCGTTCGCAGGCCAATGTATATGCTTAGGGACCAACACACCGCCTACATAGGTGCTCGCGCTGGAGTGCTATCTTACCTCGTCGTCGTACAATCTCTGTGTCCGCGTGACTTTACACGCACCGTGGGTCGAGTCCTCACCGAGATTTTGTTTTTTAATCTTCACTTCAAATCAGCGCTCACAGCACTAGTGCCGTTTACTCCAACCCCGCCGTGGTCACACAGATGAGCCCCTCTCTACCCTCCCCTCCTGCGGTACTTTGCCTTCGATTTTTAATGCGAGAAGCGTTGAACACTCTCTTCCCTCTGTATACACACGAACTAGCGCTATCCGCTAGGTCAGAATTGGAAGCGAGAGAAAAACTCACTTTGCGAGAAAAGCTCGCTTACGCCGGGATTCGAACCTCTGACCTATAACCTCCAGAAGGTTCCAACGATACCAACTAAACCACCGGGGCGACCGAGTGAGAATGACGACGAGCGAAGGGGTGTGTGCTCTCTCTCTCACACTCGCAGGTCCCAAAACGAAACGCTTGAAGTTCGGGCTATCAATCCATCAACACCGACGAGGGTGATGCGATTGATGTGCCCCGGTGGTCTGGTAGGTAGCTAACTTCGTAGCCTACTAAGGACCAGGCCATGGGTTCGAGTCCCAGCAGAGCAAAAGTTTTTTTCTCACCAAATAAATCCTGGTCCAAGTTGAAGGCGACGCGCTGCGAAGCTCGTTGTTAGTAAACTAGATCGACTTCATGAGTCGCGAGGAAAGGGATTGCTGTACCCTTCTCGCGATAAAAACATCTCAGGCATCAGGAACCGCAGGAGGGGGTCCAACCCCGCCCTCGTATGTGGCCCCGGTTGGGTCGTCTAGCTAGTAGAAGTGGAGGATAGGGGCCAGAGGGGTAGACGACAGAATCCAATGATGGGAGAAAAAAATAAAATAAATAATTAAAATAAATAAATAATAATGATATGTATTGTAGAAAAGCGCAACGGACGCGTGAAACCGTCCCTTTATTTCCAGAGTACCCCGAGATCCCGGCGTCCGAACCAAAGATCCTGAGAAGAAGAGCGTCAGGTTTCCTCTTATTCTATCTCCCCCTGGTATTCCATGCACAACCACAGCTCTCCCGTACCATACAAGCATGAACACAGGTCGGAAGGAACACCACGGGCTGCATGATATCCTCGTGCAAACAACGATGCCCGTCTTCCCCCGGTGGAATGTACAAAACAATCTGTCGATTGACCTACACGGGCCCCCCGCGCAGAGTTACGCTGCATGTTCGTTGTTGAGACGGCAAGGAGGGTATATGTGGAAGGGACAAGGCCACCGAGAGAGAGAGAGCGAGAGAGAAATAAACATATGGATGGAAGGATAGAACTTAGACCAAAGTTATCCAGTGGAGGGCATGGGATCTGTTCAGTCTAGACCACTGTACATGCCTGCCTTTTCATGTTGGCAACACGATCCTTGTATCCGTAGACTATACCGTTGACGTGAGCTTGCGCACCCGTCCTGGTTCTCCCACTTTGGGTACAGGAGTAGGGACGCCGCTGAAACCCGAGACACACCTGGGCTCCACGCCCGAAACATTATGTGAAACATGCACACAAGACCAAGCACTAGTCTACGGCAGTACTGAACTGTACATTACATGTGTACGTACGCACTTCTTCTAGACAATCTATGTGTACACTTGCATGTAGGTTTGTGCATGTGGACCTCGCGCCACGGCAGAATGGCGAATTCACTGCTGCGAGACAAACCAAGGGAGACGTTCCACCACGTTCAATTGGATTCGGTCCACTGGCCAGACCACATCATTGGCCGTTAGGTTGCTGGCCCTCGGCGGAAGGAGGGTATATTTCGGTACGGCCCGTACAACGGGATCTGGTCGCCCGATGATCTTCTCGTTCGCGAAGACGCTGTTATCAACCGTAGAACCCTCCTCCACAGTTTATCAACCAGTCGGCAACACGGGTTGTGTGTATCATGACCGCAGAGGACCACCGTCTCCCCCATCTCTCGGAGGATCGCCAGCAGATGATCGGGTCGGACCGTGGCCCCGCTGATCCAGCCGTCGTCCATTTTACACTTCCCATCTGAGAGTAGGTAGACACTCAGTATTCACGGCCCAATCACCAACATCACCTCCCACTCCTTGGCCCAGTGTTTCGGGGACCCTGTATGTCACATTGCTGGAAAGATGAAAATTGGAGGGTTTCAAGCGATCTACGTACAGTAGCTTGGATGGAAGCGAGACGGAATGCTGAGGGTGTCATGAGGTTGTTCTAAACGCCGAAAAAAAAGAGTAGTTTCAAGGTTCGCTGTTATCGGATAGGGGTGAGACTTGGGTAGATAAGGCGCGAATATGGGTGCGAATACATCGCTGAAGCTCTTGGAGAAACCACTGGTGGGAGGCAAGCGAGATAGGTAGACAGGAGCTCGGATGAAAGCGAAACGGTATGGTTGGGAGGCAGTGGAGGCTGCAGAGACGCAGGAGGATAGAAACAAACGTCGACAGCCAGGGGTCTTGTTATTAAGGCGCTCAAAAGAAGGCGATATACGGGGCGGCAGATGTCACCCTCTCGCGGGCTCTTCTTGTCGAAACCATCTTCCACAGAACAAGAGGAATGAAGGGGCTTGGGTGAGGCTTGACAAGAGCCTTTCCCGCCATGCCTATGGTGCTCATTACCTTCGTTTAGCCCCCGGAAACCCTGTAGGTCAATTCGTCGCGGAGTACCTCCCTTTTCGCACTGTTTCCCTTGGCAAGAAATTCCACCAAGACATGGTTCGTCTGGCTAGGAACTTAATTCTTCACCGAGAGACCCCCCTTCGCACAATGTTCCCTCCTCATACATACGCAACACGACATAGCCTAAGTTCTATGCCACTCTTTGTCTCGCGCGCGGGATTCTTCCCCTCATTGGTGCCCCAACCTCACCAACGAACCTGAACCATCGACGACAAATAATACCACCAGCGCATGATAGCACGTCTGGTACGTTGGCACTTATGGCTGCCACTCGGCGAAGTTTTCGGGAGACTTGGAGTTGCATGCGGCCTCGAGTTCACGTCGAAGAACCTCTACGCACGTCGAGGGCCGCGGGGTCATGGCGGCCTCCCGCCGGCACCGGCGCGGTGCACGCACGGTTGTGTGCTTTAAGGGATTCCATGTGTCGAAACTCCGGCTCGCCCGGGCAGCGGAAGCACCTCAACTTCACATGCTCGAGCTCCCTGAAGTTTCGCCTGGCGGACGTGACCAAAGAAGGACATGACGGAAGGCTTATGTTTGGGTCAGTCAACAGGTCAAATAATGCGGGAACAGAGCGAGGCCGACCGAGCGTAATTTGTCCGACGGTGTTGCCCGCGTGTTCACCAACAGCGGTTCAGCAGCAACGTCGGGGACACAAGCAGAAGAGCATCTCTTACATGTCGAGACCGAGGCTTCCCCGCTCCTCCAGCCGCCTCTCTACCCAGGACGCCTCCAGAAACAAATCTGTCAAGGGAGGTACAGTGGGCAATGTTCGGAAAACAAATTGGGGAACGGCAAGGAGAGTTGGTCAAAACCAAGGGCTAACATGAGCGGCACACGTACAAACGCGTTCGATCCGGGTTGCTTCGTCGCAGTCAGTGGGCGTGGCAATACAGGTGCGCAAATTTCTATTATTCCCGCATTCTAGGTAGTCTAAGGAGTAAATGCATTGATTGGAGTATCGTTCCATGCTGCTGCACCCTTGCAGCAGCAGCAGCAGCAGCAGCGGCGGCGGCGGCGGCGGCGGCCACGGCGGTGGCGGTGGTACACCGCGCAACTACGAACGCCTCGCTTCCGCGTAGAACCCGAGCTACCTGTCGTGAAGCTGTTCCAGTGAGTCTTGCGCTTCAGGCCCGTCCCGTCGAGGTCCATGCTGACGACGTGCAAGTGCAACGGCTCTTGCGATGGCATCGCATGGTACCCGCACCTGTCACACGAGGAAAAACATTCGGCAATAAAGTATGTTGGTTCCAGCACGGAAGGGCTTGGTTTCCGTCACAGACAACTTCAGGCCGACTGTGATTGCCTCTAGCTCGGGGGGGTATGTGGTGCGATGGTGTTTTCTTAACCACACGCCGATGGAGAATCATTTGGGCGCCTCTCGATGCGGGAATGGTTACGAGGTAACCCGGCCCACTCCGTATGCCATGCCCGATATGTACGTCGCCACACCTGGCGAGAGGCATGACCTAGTGTCGTTTCATCTCTTTTCACCTGATCACGTTTGCAGAAGGGTGAGACAATTCCCTGACTTCCGCCTGAAGGGACAAGGCCTTCGCCAGCGCAGTTCCCATGGCGTGCAGGCGGCGCAACTTCGGCAGGTGTTCCTTCCGGAGGGCGCTCGGCCCCGTCACGTTGAGAAACTTCAGACCAGCAAAAAAAAAAGAAGAGTTATATGCTGTCTGGGAAATCGTAGACATACAGGTACTTTCTGACGCTATGAATTCATTGCTAATCTGTCTCAGACTCTTTCTATGATAGAGATGGATTCGTTGTGTCATACTAAGAAAAATAAAAAAAAGTGGAGGCGTTGAAAGAGGAGCGTCAAGACTCCGAAGACTGTGAGGATGGACGTCAAAATTCAGGAAATAGTTTTCGCCCCCAGTCATGCGTTCTCTTGGGCTTACCCTATAGCAACTCCAAAGCCGAAAACGAATATTTCAATATTTCTTCCCTACGCCGCCCGTCTACCGTGGATGGGCACGTTGCATCGATACTCATGGTACTCCCCAATGTACACATACCGACAAGCCTTGAGCCACGCGTCAACCCAATCCGCGATCAGGAAAAAATGATAGTTAACATACCGGCAGGCACTCACCGTCTCTCTTGGGACCACCAGAAGATGGAACTTCCCCTTCGGGAAGCCGTCGTACGTGACCATCACGTCCTCATCCATGTAGAACACCTCGCCCTACGAGTTTTCAAGGGCAAACATCAGGTGCACCGCGGTGACAAAAGCAAGAGGAAAAGAACGAACGACGAAAACAACAGAATCATGATATCGCCGGCAAAGATGGATTTCTCACAAACGTCGCGACGGGAGACGAGCCTCAACAGTAAGTCGTGCTCGATTTTGCTACGGTTATTGTATCAACGTCAAGAGTTTGTGAGACCATTTCCCACGATCGTCTCCGCGAGGCGACGACGCCTGAAGGCACAATATGCAACGTACGCGGTCAGACTGCTACCAAACCTGAATTTGTTCGTTCGTGTGGTACATCAGGAACAGAAACAGGGCCGTCTTGCCCCTGTGCAGGTGTCTGTCCGAAAGGATCTTTGCACTCGTCCACTCGCGACCCTCTTCTTCGTCGTCGTGGTTGTAGTACTGCTCCAGGAAGCCCCGAAGAGGTCCGTCCAACATGTGCTGCTTGAGCCAAGGCATACTCGACACCGGTTGCGGGGCCTGGTCCTTGTAGAGGGGAAATTCGATAGGGTCAGCGTTCCGTGCGCCGGCGGCCATTCCAACTGGGACGTCGTGACTGTGGCAGGTGGCACCAGTCTTATCGAGGTTCGCGGATGGAGGTGACCTCGGATGCCGGGGGCCCCGGGGAGTCAGCGGGATTCGCCGGGGGTCTTGTGCCGGCCGAACACTGCTGGTGCGGCAACACGGTTAACCACAAGTGAGGCGAAGCTGTTGGCGAACTACTGCTGTAGCAAGTATTTGTTTTTGGAGCTTCAGCGGCAGGTTCTTTGCTTCCAACAGCCATCAAAGAATGGGACAAGCATCTCGACAAACCTTGGCTCTCCCTCTACCCATCCAAATTGTCTACAGCCATCGCTGCTCTTGTCCGGTCAACTCAACGTTGTACCTCTGGAGTACATACGCGAGAAACCATATTACTAATCACCCAAGTTTTCCCAGGCCTTCGGCCCTTCGAGCGGCCCCGCCTCGGCCGCGGTCCCAAGTTTCGCCTCCGGCCGTTCCCCAGGTTGGTGTGCATCTCCGTGTTTCTGCTCTGTCTCCTCCTCCTCCTCGTGCTCCTCCGGATGGCTCGTTTGCTTCCTGTCGCCACTGGCATCGTTGGCCTCGCTTGTCCCTCCAGGGCCCAAGCTTTCGCGCCTCTCCTTCTGCAGATCCTCGCCGCTCGTTCGCTGGCTCCTGGTGCGTTCTCCTCCGTACGTTCCCCCAATCCCTCTCTCCTGGGTTTCGCGTCGAGCTGCACCCGCCCAGCCCGGCCCACCTTGGTCGGTCGGCCCGACCCGGTCCTGTACAGAAACGTGGCCGGCAAAAACGTGGAACGAGTGCCCTACATTTTTCCCCCACGGTTGTGTGCATCATGGTGCAAACAGACGCTTGTCGGCTGGTGTACCTTACGGATTTGGTCTCCGACCTAGTGTCATGTGCAAGTGTTCGGATGCTGTAAGTGCGCCAACACCCGCATCACTGCGTGGCATACGGGACATCCTTGATATACGTTCATGTGCTTGCTGTTTTCTTCACACCAGACCCGTTCCGACCTCTGCTCGGGACCTTCGAATGTTCGTACCGATCCGTCTGACGCGGGCGGCTTAACGACAGTTCTAGTAGTACGGTATGCCATGTATCGGCACCTCGCTTGAGCGCATACCTATGGACCCGTTTCGTTGGTTGTGAGGTGCGCACCCGAAATTCCCTCGAGGCCTGCCCTCTTATCATTGCCACTATCACGAGTCTTTCGTTCCAGACCGCCGATGCTCGTCCTTGAATACTCCGGCTTTGGCGCGCGCCGAGGTACGACACTGGCTTACCTTGAGGAAACTCATTGCTGCGTGTGCTCTGATACTGCGCGCCTCTAACCCGGGTTTGCGGCGCGGAATGACCCCGCCTCCATGACCCTTGTTGGTTCCTCGGGTCCGCGCGCCCGAGATGGCGTTGTTCATGCCGGGGGGGTTCTGTATTGCGTAAATCGTGCCCGCTAAACACATCAGTGGGTCGTTGAGAGTTGATCCTCCTGGTAAATGCAAAAGCGCTGCCGGGATGCGCGCGGTACGTTATTGGTCCTATCGACAGTTTTGGTTTCCCTCAACGCCTTCTCCAGGGGGTCGTCCAAGCGATAACCTGCTGTTGTTCCCAAACTACTGGCGCACACCAATAGGTATGCGTACGAACGCCAGCAAAGGAGATGTTTGGTACGGGGCTAGGACCCGACACCAACAATACATTCTTCAATGGCGACGAGAAAGGGACGAGAAGGAAAAACGGAACAAGAAAACAATAGCCAGGCTTGCAGAACAACGGATTGGCCAGCGTGGGCACGGTACGAATGACTCGGCCAATTTACCTGGGATCGAGCGACGACCAACCTGCCTGGCATTGCGCTGCCGAGAAGGGCCGTACACGCGTGCGATCTGGTTTGCATCCAAAGTGATGGCGGGACGCGCAGTGTCAAAGTCCGACCGTTTCTGTCGAAGGAAATTGTGGGCCTACAACGTCTCACGGTCAGCGTGTTGCGTCTGTGCGTGCACCCGGAGTTCGGCAATCCATGCGTTAATGCGACTTTGGAGAACCAGGCAGGTGAGCCAGCGCTTCGACAGTCCCTTCGTGCTACTTTCATGACCCAGTTCCGGAAGAGGAGGGATGACTGGCAGTTGACAGCAGAATCGATGTGTGCTGTCTATGCCGTGAGTTTTGTCGCTCAGCTGACGACTGTAGCATGAATGGAACACATTCTTTGGCCCGGGAATGGCGGATGTTTTGAGTAGCCGTGACCACGGGAGAGCCTAGCTGCTCTCGTTCAGTGTACGAGGGACATTTTCTATATGTCCAATTGCTCACCGCCTCGTGGGAAAGATAGTGGGCCTTGAGTCGCTCAACCCCGCCAATTGTTTCCTGGCAAATATGGCACCGCGGAGTTTGTTCCTTCAGCCGAATATACCTGCTAGGCATGGATGGAAGGTCAGACACACTTCGCAGAAGTCGCCAGTGCATAGTTCACGATCGGTGCATACTACCGCTAAGACCAAGCCGATACGACAGATCACTCTCTCTCATCAACCCTCGTATGACATGAAATCGACAATACTCGAACTGTCTCGCTGTATTCAACGCATTCTGCGCATCGGGTCTCCCCTCCGAATTTTGTTCGGTTTGCCTTTGTCGGTTGCATTTCCCGCAGCGGGCAGAGGATCGTGTTGGAACATCGCGCAGCTCCCAAGAATAATGACCCCGCAGTAGATGAAAAACGTCAAGCAGGGGTGTGCCTACAGTAATACGGTGTACCACGTGCACAGCTACTTTTGGACTCCCAGGGGCTGTAGTGCGTTGTGCACATGGAATACGAATGTTCACCTTTCCAAATCCAGCTGGAGGCATCCGTGCCGCTCAAGCATTTCCTCTACCCAAGCAGGTTCGAGGAAGATGTCTGAATAGTTTACAACACAACACAACAACCGGGTGTTCGATTCATTTCGCATACCCACAGCAGGGTCACTAGGCAGGGAAAATATTGAAAAACACATTAAAAGCACGATCCACCTTCAACGTTGTATGAGAGTAGATGTGCAACAAACAACGTCTAACCCCAACCCCTCTGTTTGGGCTACAAACGGTTTCATTGGCGTCTGAACTCACGGTCGTCGCGCCCGACGAGCTGTGAATTTGTTGACGGCCGTGTTGCTTTGACAGGCATAGGTCACTTGTTTTGTTCGAAGTATACCACAGCTGAGATTTCCACGTGTGACATATAACGTCGATATTGATGACGTCGTCAAGGCGATATCAATAACAATTTTCACGAGAACACCGCAACGAACGGCATCTGCTTCCAGATGTTTCCATTGGGTCGGCGGTGGCAAGAGCGGACATTGAGAAAGGGTCTGAGGCTACAAGGGGGCTGTTGATGATGGCGAATATTCTGTCAGGGTGCACGAACAGCACGAGGGAATACCCGCCAAGGCTGCATTCTCGCGAAGAGAAAGGACAGTTGGATCGACCGAAACTGCGCTGCGCAGTTCCGATGGAATCGGTATTGTATTATGCGCCACCGAACGACCCACAGCGCCACACTCTATGAGTACGGTAGGATCATGAACTCACGAACGAGTCAAACTGTTTACCTGTGAAAGCAAGGAAGAGGCTCGGTCAGATAGTGTTCAACGACGATGATAACTCGACTACTGTACCTTGCCGGTGTGCAGTGGTGGGGATGCGTTTTGAAGCTCTTCAAATGCCACATGTCCTACAGTACTCACTTTAGCAAGAAGAGTCACACGAGGCTAGAGATCAACAAATGACGCACGTAGTGAATTCTCGATCGCCCGCACGCTGCAGCATTCGCGAGGTACATCAGACTTGACAAGCGTACGCTAGCTCAACCGAATAATCCACTCTCTAGGGCAATTAGGGAAGCCGCAGCCCTTCTCCCGCTCCCGTGCCCTGCGTGTTTACCTGGCGATCCCCGCCGTCTTTTGTACCCTCATGTACCTACAGATAACTATCGAGCGCACCCGTTTCAAGCACACGGTCGGCAATGCAGAAGGCGGCTACCTGTGGTGAAGATGTTCCAATGACGCGGCATCCGCAGTCTTTCACTGTCGAAGTCTTGGCTGATGATGTGCATGTGCAACGGCTCCATTGAAGGAACAGCGTGCACGCCGATCCTTGCAGGCCGGAAACGGACAGAGTGAATGGATCGTGACGGTGAGGGACATGGTGCAATAAAAGCTCTTGAAAATAACCCCCAACGTACCCCCCACACCCGATACGACTCCTGCCTGTTTTTCGTTTTTTTTCAACATACCGCTGCACCTCGGGCGTTTTCAATCATATCCAACAGTTGTCTTCCGCCCCAGTTCACCTGATTTCGCCGATGCCCTGCTGCGACAAGTCTTCCGCCACTGCCCTACCCAATGCATGCATCTGGTGTAGAGCTGAGAGGTGTTCGCGTCGGAGGTCCGATGGCCGCATGACATCGAGAAACTGGTTGAGAGGGTTCAGCCAAATTGTAGCCGCGAGAGATAAAACGAAGAGGAGATCAGCGGCATGCTAAACTCTCAGTATTGGCTATCCATCAGCTCCAGGCTTTGACGGCTTTCACTCCCTGCGCATAGGCCTCTCGAATGAACGTCATATGCAAGGAACATTTTAACCGTGCGCACATGTCAACTCACCGACGGCCTCGGCATCAAAAGCAGATGGTGCCGTGCTTTGGGGTATCCGTCATAAATTACCATGAACCTCTCGTCCTGGAAGTAGATCTGGTCCTGCAGTGACGAAATCGAGATCGATGACACAGGAAAATTTTGCGTATCTAGACAATCTTGCCCACATACATGGAAAACGTCCGCGTCTTTGCACCAGTACCGACATTGGACAAGGTAGCATTGAAAAAAATATTTTGTGAGGATTACAACACCAAACCCTAACTCCAAAACACCAGGGCAACTAAGAACATGTTCAGCCCTTTCCCTATCTTGCAACAACAAGTTACTTTGAATGGCTGCGCAGTTTGCCACGGCTTAGCAATGTTGAAGAAGTATTCCCAGGTAATCAAAATGTCTTGCGGTTTGTTCTGCCCAAATGGTTTCGTACACGTATAGACTACCATGAAATTTGACTACATGTACATGAGCATGCTCCGCAACAAACTGGTAAACATCTCAACGTTGTACTATTTATATACCGTGCGAGAAGAAATCAAAGTGGTGGAGCTCCGATGCTGCACCAGCACGTGAAGACACAACTTTTTCAATCATCCCGCTCAGTATTCCGTCTGCTTGTGGGAGGTGCGGCAGTTCCGATATCGAAGGAATTTCACCTGTAGGGCTGCATGTGAGCTGAGGAGATGGAGGTACAACCAATATTCCATGGTGATACAACCATACTCTGGAGTATGAATACGTGAGCTCTTCGGTCAATGCACGTCATGATCCACTTGATTGAGACAACGCCGTCACGTTTTCCATCACATATTAGACAGAGATAAAGTTCAACGAAACCGCAAGATGAAATAGTGATTGGCGTCAGCGCATGTACCAGATATTGGTTGTGTACTTCCGTCTTCGTGGAGCAGTCGAGAGGAAGGTCCGGCGAATACTTGAAGTTTGCAATTCTAGCAGCCATTTGACCAGGCGGCCGCCTGTCGTATACCTTGAGTCGATCAGACACAAATCTCGGGAAGTGTAGGTTGACTGAGTGGATGGCGCGGATGGTTTGACGCTGACTTCACCTGCAATGCCGGATGGTCACAATTTTTGAAGAACAGGTGAAACACCTCCTTCCAGCCATCCCGCCCAATGCGGAATCCCTTCACATTTTCGATTGGTACACGCGGCGTCCCCTTGTAGTGCCCGAACGGCTTGCTGCCAAACGAGTATTCGGACTCGATCCTTGACATGGATTCGTCGCCGCGACCACGGCCTTCCTCGTCGCCGGAACCCTGACGAGATAAGCGAACATCCGACAAACTCTCAAGAAACGAGATTCACGGTTGGTAGATGATGTCGATCTCTTCAGCATTTGGAAATCCGTAACCCTGAAAACGGGTTTTCCTTACCTGTTGTCAACGCACACAACTCCCAGTGCCTTGTCGCAGGGGTCATAGTCCCGTGAATATACTGTAACTCCGAAAGTCAAAACGTCCAAACACATTCAACAAATTTGGGAGGAGGGTGCTGTTTCGGGTCAAATGCAGCACGGATCGATAACCTTGCTTCTCTTGTCCCCTCTCGTATCAGCAGGGAGGTGTAGTGCTTTCCACCACCACACCATCCTTGCTACCGTAGGTATAGTCGAAAATTAGGTGAATTGTCCTGAGCGACCAGAAAGGGCAAAGAAATAAGAAAGCAACAAGCCGATGAAGTCGGTGTTTTATGGGTAGAGCCAGCTCACGTTTAGACCAAATTTCTCAAAATGGAATTTTCCGCTTCGGTTAATCGACTGACCGAGTAGTACTGGTAGCATTTGCGTACGGGTAGGCCCCCAGTTGGAACAACGACACATACTTCCGTTTTCAATCTGGCTGTACCCATACGCGTTCGTGGCAAAGGTGCCTATTCATTTGGGACATGAAAACACGAGCTCTATAGGGTTGAGAGGCCGGTGATAGAGCCAGCTACCTCCTTAAACATACTTGGGGGAACGATTGCCCCCCCGCCCCCCGATAGGGCGGGCGACCACCATGCGTGGTAAGGCTGCCGGGCTTCGCGAGTAGATGTAATGGTTGAAAGCCGGAAACAACGGTGTCGTGCTTTCATTTTTGGTTACTCACGGGAGGAAACAACGCGTCGTGTAGGACCGGCTTTGCGATAATTTTGATCGCGTGTGGGCGAAGATCTACACGTAAGTGTCGAATTTCTGACCAATAGACACGTACGCGTCGGTACCGGAAAAACACTTGGGTGGAAAGGTACCCATGAAGACGACGCCATTGGCAAGTAAGGGGGAGGCAAGAGTTATCGATCCAAAGAGAGGCGAATCCCGAATTGTATTTAGACTCGGCGCTCGCCGTAAATACTGATGAGGAGGGTTGTACAGAATCGCCGATTTTTCGTTGATTGATTTCTGCAGGAAGGAGATGAACACAAACAGCGTTGAGGGATCATACGACAGTATCGTCAACGCGTTTACGACAACTATATGCACACAACAGGCAGTTTTAATCGGATTAATTGTGTGTAGTTGGGGCATCTGTTCGCATGTCCATGTCATGTCTGTTCAGACCGAGGTCAGTCGTCTTATGGACGCGTCGCCATCCGAACATGTTAGCGTACCGTAGAGTCCAACGTATTGTGTCGACCAATGCCTGCGAACGCGAACAATGTTTCAGGTGTCATACCACAGCGTTCGCAAAGAAGAAGATTTCGGTTCCACCAGACAGAGTATGCAGTGGTTCGTATGGCGCCGCGGGTGGTGGCGACTGCGCAGCGTTCCGGCTATGGACGCGCATCGTCGCAGGTAGATGACGAATTGATGGTTGTGAACCGACCCAACCGATCGGATGGTATTCCGTGTTTTCCTATTGCATATATATAGACAATGTAGACTAATGATGTTTGAATGCTATAGACTACCAGTATTAGTCTATTGTTCCATCATCGGAAGATCATGATGATGTTTGATTGTTATGATTGTAGCACGAATTTGCTTGTCATATCCACCGTTACTGTGGACAAGACACACGTGGGATAACACAGCTTGACAGGGAGCTCATGTGTGGACACAAGGGGTCGCGTTTTTTGCTGTGTACAGCAGTGGAGACTTTTGTAAAATGTTGTTGTTGATGTTGAAGGATGCATGTTGCTTGCAGCATGTTTGTCGGCAGAAGCGCACGTGGTAGTATGTGGAACGTTCGAAGGAAGCCGGGAAGTTGGTGGGAATAGGCATACATCCACATGGGTTATTTGTTGTCGACAGCAAGCTGCAGTGGTCCGCGTCTCTCTGCATAGGATAAATGAAGAGAAACAGGTGAAACGGCCGAAGCATGGGGATGTGGTTGTACACAGTTTGAAACAGGACCATAACCATTGGTAACGTCAACAGCAAGGTCGTCACGTGATCGATCGATTTCACATGGGATTGCAATCCAACATTGCTATTAACGTTCGTACTGCTGCCTGGAGCAGCTGAGTTCTTCCACGGGTACCTCATTAGACGGAAGAGCAATTTCTTCGTAGATTCACGTGTGGCGCGTCGCGTGGGATCGCGCGTGGGATCACGTGGCGAAAGAACAAATCGCACTCACGTCGGCCCACTCTAAAATCAAGTCTAATGTGGTGCAACATCCTGTGAGTTCAATATAACATTGTGATGAATCGGACCAAACTTGTCCACTTCACCACCGTTTCTCCGGGTCCCGTGCTTCTCCTCTCCTTATGGTTCGGTCGAAGAAAGTGCGTGAGTGACGGCGACGCATCTACACGTACACTGTGTACTGCCGAGGCGCCATTAGTACCCGAAGCGGCCGTGTGTACAAACCGCAGATCCTTCAACGCCGACTCTGTCATCGAACTGTCCTCGGTCATGTCCGCGGTGTCCTAGCTTCAACTTCGGTTCGCTGATTCATTGACAATCCTAGCGAGACATGTACAGTAGTCAAGTTAATTCACGCCTACCTTGACATCCCTGTACTCGATTCGCCGTTCGTCGTTCATCTGGAAATCGCTTTTGTCGCGAGCTGGAGCAGATTCTGAGATCCTAACGTAGCCGAGGCGGGCGGCAATGCTCGCTGGGGATCGAAAATGACGCGGAGTGTGAACAGGGGCACGCGACTTGCGAAAGAGCCAGTCCCAGGCCAACGCGGACGAACGGGCGTGAACTATCTCAGATCAGCTTTTACCCGGAACTTGTAATAATGTATGTAGCTGATGGCTTCAGCTATGAACCACCAAATTAGAGCCAGCGTCAGCACCAGTCGCTTCAATTTCTGGTTTCTCTGCCTTTCGGCAGGTGTGACGAACAGGCATGTATGTCGCATATATGTATGTAGACTATGTGTACACATACCATCGACACACGCCCTGCAACGTCTAGCCGAATTGCCTTTCATTAAAATCATGGTCGGGGGGCTGCATCTACTGTATCGAGCATCTTCTCCGGTCGCTTCCTCTGGGGGGGGGGCGGAACAACTCGGGTGGGAAAACCTGACCTTGTGGGTCCAAATCATGGAATATTCATATTTCTCCCCCCTCACAGGCAGGGGAGGGCGCTCGATCGACATGCCCGCGCATTCAATTTGCTGGGAGGGAGCCGTCAGTATCAAGCGACGTACTGCATCAAAACCGAACTCGTGATAACATTCTGTCTGGCCCTTCGCATTCGGTGCTGCCGATTTGCCGCACGCTCGAGTGTTGCACCGGTTTACCTTGAGGAAGCCAGGTGTTGCGTGTGCCCTCATGTGACGCGCCCGGTTCGGACCAGATTTTGCGAGACGGAATGACATTTGCTCCACAGGACACCTCCCCAGTTCACTGCTCGGGTCCGAAAGCCCGAGATGGCCTTATCCAAATACACAGGGGGAGAGATAGCCACAGACCTATGGACAGACGCAGACTACCTCGATCTCGTGTGAATTTTCGTGCAAAAACTCTTCTTCCACAGGGTGCATGTCTCGCATTTCCTTGATGTACAGCGAAGTAATCCGCAGTGCAAAGAAAGGATCCGGCTCGAGACAGACCTCCTGAACGACGGTAGATGTGTTCCAAGCCTTTACATAATCGAGTCAGGGACATCGACTCCCTGTGGGGTGGTGAAATGTCGCAAGGGTTATCGTCAATACATCCGTGTCCTTGGAACACCCCCGGGGACTCCGTTTACGTACGGCAATGTCATGGGGGTCCCAACTGTCGGACTGAAAATACGCAACCCAGGCGTCATTCCTGTCGTGGCTGCGATCGAATCACTGAGTTCCTCATGCGAATATTTCGGTATAGTTGGGGTGCGTCCGGCGGCACGGCGTGGATGTAGCTCGTGTAATGTCAACATTTAACTGAACCATCAAGGCGCGATTGCGTACAGTCATTGAGAACGCAACAAAGTGGAGCTAAACTCTCCTACAGTAACCGCCTGCGTGTGGATTTTCCTACTGCAAGAGTTATATTCCAAGATTCAAACAAAAACAGCCATTCAAAAAAGCAAGCCAATACGAACATGACTCAAGACCAGTGAAGAAGAGGACACCAAAACCCCAAAAGGAAAGCCCTGACCGGGTGTGTACGCTTGGTCAGCACCGAAATACCATTATCTACAAGGGAGAGGTACCGATCCCTCTCGTGAACAAAACAAATGAACATCGAACTTTGACAGAGGGACCGCCTGTGTGAAGATATTTCGTTATTCTATGATATCGAGAGGCGCAGGGGGTACTACGTAGATCCTGTGTGTGCACGTCATTGTGCGAAAGGACCTAGACCTGTCGAGCACCTAGTTATCAATGTAGCGACGACATCTTAAGCTGACCATCCGAAGCCTACGACAACCCGCACATAAATCATGTTACACTGCCGGGACATGCTTCACGTAGAATACTCATAGTCCTTAACTCTGGCCCAAATCGAACCCCGGAGTTCCACCAATTCCACATTTATGCACAAATTCAACATGTTTGCTCACAAGAAAAATTCGTGCGTCACTGTGTTTACCAACAAAAGACCAACCAAAAAAACTGCATATTATCGGATGGTGACCCATCGTGACGCAGAGAGGCGAAATACATGACCAATAACAGCCTCACCACACCTAGTGACGAGGCACGTGCAGCACGCGGCCCAGAAAGAAGGACGGCAAAAATCACAAATACACACTTCGACGAAAACAACTCGCCGACCAATGGATGGGTGCGAAGTCACAACCACTTCAAACCGCGGGAAAACGAAGAGCGCGTGCTCGTTACTGCAGAGATTGCAATACCTACGAGGTTCATCGCTTCTTCATCTTCCCGGATCCGGTTCCTGTTTTCGAACATCGTTCGCCAGGCGCTGAGTTACAGATGATTACCTGACAAGAGGTCCCAAAGCAACGCATCTACCTCAACACCAGGCCGCTGCAGATGTTGGCTCCCGGCGGCTGTTTTTTATAGAGTCAAAGAGCACCCAACGGCGCATGCTTTCCCAGGAAGTGTACAGGTAGGAAGATGATCCCTACAAACTACGATTCCCTATCCTGTTTCCTTACTTCCGTTCCCTGTAATGGACAAATGCCATCTTGGTACGACTACGTCATCTTGGTACGGTGTTGCCACCCGAACATAACACTGTGCACATTCACTAGCCGTCGTGGCCGGCGTGCCTCAGGTGCTGCATCGAATACTGTAGCGGTGCTCGAGTAGGCAACACAAAATGCAAGGGAGCTGTCACAAACGAGGTGCTCAACCTGTCTACTTGACCAACTTCTTCCGGACAGCAGCGCATTCATCCCAAACCACAATCGGTATTCTCAACTTGTCCAACGAACGATTATGGAGAATAGTGGTGTCCGAACACATGCATGGATAATCCATGCATAACCGAATGAAGTTATTTCAAGGAACTGCTGTAGGATCGCAACTTAAAGAGCAAGCGAGCGCCGAACGAGGTGCACTTGTTCGGAATTTACCAACTTATGAATCGACAACAGTTTTTCTCGCTCTTCCGTGGAGGAAATCAGGAGGCGCCACAACCCGCAGGTGTTTGTCCCGTCCGCTACGGCACCACCGTCTTCTGCCGTCGTCTTTCAAGAATATAGCATAGGTTCTCTTGGCTACATGTTGGCGAAATTTTCGGCTACGTTTGCGACGTGTACGAGCAATCCAAAACAAAAAACGGTCACGTTGTGCGGTTCGAATATGTAGGGCAAGGTCCGAACATAACCCAGCTCGTGGGTGACTTCGACGAGTCCTCCGTCGTGCAAAGTAGATGGCATGTTATGAGCTGTTCCTCGCCGTGCACCGCGGTCCCTGGCTTACGTTACGACGACGGTCGGCCCCGAAGGTACAGCGTTGGTCGTTTCCGTCTGGTCGCGCGCGTTCAGGTTGCAACCGGCTGATAAACCTGGCGCGTATGCCTGATCTCGTCCATCCAAGCTTCGGTGGCGCAGGACAAACGAGCGTACACCACCTTATCAGCCTCGTTGAATAGCCAGTTGATAAAATACACGAGACCCACCATCTGCGTGTAAACCCGCGCACATCATGAAGGCGATTCAGCGGCTTAGTCATCGACGTCCCACTACACGCGGATCGTTTCAGCAAGGAAATCGCAAAACCTATCCGAATCAGCGGCAGCCTGTGCATCAGCGTCAGCCAAGACCTAGTGGAAGATGTGCGTTGATTCGCGCGGTACATTGCGCGCATGTCATTCGGCTCGAAACGATTGCGGGTGCAGGAAATAGTGCCCTCGCTCACCAGAAACAATATCGCGAACTGAGCAGGGTGCTCCAGGTTGTACCACGCGCACTTCAAACCCGATGGCAGGTCAACCAGCACTGCACGGAACGAAGCGGCAAGAGCAACCACGGCAAAGTTGACTCGTGAGAACCAGCAGCCACGCAAGTGATTATAGGGACGACATACGTCGCCTGATTGATGGCTTACTAACCTCGGAAAACGTGCGGCAACAAGGTCGGGAGTGCACGGTCGGGATGAGGCACCTTGCCTCGCATTTCGAACCTCCGTGTTGTCGACATGGCACTGTTCTGGGTACACACACTTGACGGAGAGGATTAATGAGCACCTTCCTCGCATTCAAGCTACGGGCATGCATCAAGGCGGAGACCTTGCGTATGAGCCCGAATCGCAGTCATGATAGTATGTGAGGCAAGACCGTGCACAAGGTCGGTGGATTCGGTCAAACGGCGGTTGGCAAAACGAAAGACAGCTCCCACAAACGGTCGTGACCGATGGCGGAGGTCGGTGCTTCCCTAACACTCTTGCGTAAGGCGCGTCACTCACAGCTGCCATCCACGAGACCCGCGTTTAAGGCCGCGATCGTCGCCAGCAACATCCTGCGACTGCAATGACATCCACCGGAAAACACGAGCAGGGAGGCAGACAGCTCATGCAAAACGAACAAAGCACAATCTGCGGAGTACTTCAGAAAAACCTGTGCGAACTAAGCTCTGTGTATGCCGTTGTAGTAAGGATGGAACTCGTCACGGTAGGGATGCCACGGCAGGATGCCAACCGAAACAGGCGGAAGGGATCATTATTCCGAGCATTATTCCTACTAGAACCCCGTTGCCGAGTTTCCTGTTACAGCAGTGGTGGCATGTACCGAGGATCACCTACGGAATACGCCGTTTGGACCGAAGAACAACCGCGCTGCACTTTTCGGGGAACGGTGTTGCGCTTGCAACAGCACACGGGTTCCAGGTCTTGGAAGCTGTTACAAGAGCACTATACGAAGGTGAAGTCTGATCACCGGAGCGTTCCTTGACATAGAAGCAAAGCCGTTAGACACGGCCCACGGCACGCGCGCTCCACACCCACCGTTCTCGTGATGGGGTGGAAGAATTCGTCATTGTTCTGGGTAATACCGAAGAGCGTTGGCTGTGATGCTGCAAGCCGAGCCTTACGTACGCTCTTCTTTTTCCACGAATACTTGTCAAAATTTCCCTTCTCGTTAAGCTGGATGGAGTACCTCATCATCGTCGAGCCAGCCGTCCTTTTCCCGATTATCCTTAGGGCTTCGTGCTTCAACGACGAACTTTGGCAGCGCTTGAAATGCCGCGAGGCCTGGAATGCGCTTGGTTCAGGTATGGCGGCTTTATCCTTAACCAGTGGAGCAGTCCACGAACATTGTAGCCGTATTTCTCCACGGTGTTCCTCGAGGTCCGACGGCCGCGGGCTCATGGCCGGCACATCTGGCGAAAATAAGGCTAAAATCACGAAGGTGGTGGTGGTCAAGCCACAGGTACTGTGCAAAGCTCGCCTCAGCAATGGTGACCCATACCAACCAGAGAGGCGAAAAGCTTAAACCAGAACGAAATTGCGGAAGTAAGAGCAACCGCGTGTGGTTTACGTTCTGCGAAAAGCAATGATGGAACTGCTTGGTTCGAAAGCCACAACTCGAACATGCATTCTCGGCTTTTACATGCTCGACGCGACTCTAGTCGGAAAAGCTACATGTATTTCACTCCGTTGACAGAGAAATCTCCAAGAAAAGTGGACTCACCGCGGAAAACGTTCCGCACGAACAGTGGAACGTAGCAGAAGATGATGAACATGGTGTGTACCAGAAACCCTAAGGAAACGCGGAGTGCGCAAACACGGAATAATTGTAATAGTTAACTTGCTTGGAAGTGCACGTTGGACTCCTTCTGTACCTGGTGTTCGTGTGCGTACGCATGCAACAAGGCACCTCTTGGGTCGCGGTGAAATAGCGCACGCAACAGGGCAAAGGGTAACGTCGCCGGTGGCACGAGCCCGACAGTCGAGGGACTATCGATCAATGACGATACCGTCATGATCAGGACTCTTCAAACACAAAGAATACGCTCACTAGGCACCCGCCGTTTCGGCTGTTTCCTCTAGGGAAACTAATATATGCCATCGATCTCAGTGCTCTCTTGAGGAGTGGGTTACTGAGGCACAGTGTCAAAAGCGGCGATGTTGGTGTTGTCTTCACATTAAGAACCGTGCCGATCTCTGTACCCAGACCCTTCATTTGTCTGTAATGATCGAACACTTGGCGCGGCCGATTCCCGTGGTCGAAGGCTACCTTAGCCGAAAAGGTATACACTCCAAAAAAATGGACCCGAAAGGTCCGCAAGACGAAAAAAAGTCAGAGACAGACAGTCTGGAGCCCTCCACTTCCCTCTACACGCTGTGTGAGGTAAATACCCCGCTGGAAGTTGACATCACGGGCAGGAGAGGTACATCCCCTGGTTGAATCTTGGTACCCCTACACTGGCGGCGGGGTGTCCCATGCCGGGTTCCCGGCGGTCAGACCGAATCGGCATACAATCTAGCCCTCCCCACCGAAAAGTTGCAGACAAGATGCGAGGAGAGGCAAGCATGTCCCCGTGCTAACGACGCGCGTCTGGTCTTCAACAGGACAACTGCGTAGAGAAAAGAGTAGTACATCTGGAAAAGAAACGAAAAACAAATTACGCACGCCACGAATACCAACAAATAAACAAACCGGGCCGCCAGCGATAGTAAATGCACGTCCATCACTCGCGGGGGCTTGGTGCAACGGTGCAATGATGCGCGGGGGGACTAGCTAGTTCAACCCGGCACGTATATCGTCACTCCTGCCTCTTCTCGTTTGCTTTCTTCCCTCGCCGTCTCGTCCGGCTGCTGCCCCCCTCCTGCCCCATTGCAAACGACGCGCTGGACTCATTGACTCGTTTGAGCGGTTGTTGCTGGCTGGTCTCCGATGAATCCTTGTGCCAGGAGGTGAAGAACCTCTCAGCTCCCTCTAGTACCCTCGTGCACCACGGTACTACCCTGCTTCCGTCGAAATTAGTTTAGGGACTCTTATAAGCGCATTGCTCGTCGTCTGTAGATCCGTGAGTAGTCCTCAACGCCTCGTCCTTCAGGCACACCTGGCATCTCTGCACCGGTTTTCCCCTACCTGGGTCCTCCCCCCCCCACCAGCTCGCCGAACATCAGCCGTTTCGGGAGTGGCCAGTCCGGTCGCCTCGCGAATGCTCCCGCGAACTGTACGCGCCATTGCCGAAGCAGTGGCTTTTACGCTCTGGCATACAGACCCTCTTCAGAGCCTGGGCGTGGGAGAGCTGCCGGTAGGTGCCCTTCCTCTGGTACCCGATAAACTCGAAGGAGCAGCCGGGGATGCATCGACCGCAGCATGGTGCAAGATGAAAAACACGTGCCGCGATCCTAATGTTTGAGTTGTGCGCAGCGAGTCAGCTGAGGTTTTAGGGGCAGCCAATGTTACTGGAGAACAACTGACTTTCATGCATCTCACACCACCCGTCCGATAAGAACACCCAACATGCAAGCACTGGCTTATCTGATGGCTGTGACGACCAGCCCAGCTATGACGTATTCCGAGTTCGAAAGGCTGACTGCAGGTTGTGACGTTTTCCAAGACCAAACAGCCCGCACAGCTGGAGTATTTAGACTCGAAGAGCGAAGCGAGCCCCACCGAACCACAAATAAACCAATCTGTCTGCAATAGAACGGCGGCCTCGGTTTTGTGATCCATCGAGAGAAGAGGTTCGAAACCGCTATTTCAGGGTAATGCTGCCAAACCTTTAGCGGATGGTGTACAACCGCTAGCCCCGGAGCCTTGAAAGCATCTGTGAATAGTTCAACAGATGTGTGTGTCTCATTGCAACATTCATAAAATCGAAAAGTGCATAGTCATGTTTGTCTCTCATTGAACATTCATCACAGATGTAGATGAACAAGCAACCGTTTTACAAAGAAAGACAAAACGTCAGTACGATGTAGTGCTATGCATGGAAACAAAGAGGTTGTTCCCTCTTGTTACCGTTTTCTGAATCGTCTCAGCAGCACGCAACGTGGTTCATCTGTTGTATTTCGCGTTGTTTCCCGCGACCTAAACAATCTGCCTTTATATCACCACGTAGAACAAACACGTGGTAAATAGTCCGATCCGCGCATACTATACGAAAACGTATATAGGATGGGGGGTATGCGTACTCCTGTTTTGCATGCTAAACCGGTTAGACAATTGACCACGCGTCCTCTAGACGACGGAGCTTGCTTCCCACAGGACCAACCCCGAAACTGAATGTGATACATTGGAAACGGTAGGCCTAGAGGGGTTCAAAACGGGTAATACATTGCCTTCGCCGAGAGAGAACAACAAAATCTAACCAAAATATCGAAGAAAAAAAAGAGTTTACTGTAGAAGGGTACGGAATGTTGGGGTAAGGAATAGGGTCCAAGTAGTCCCGACATGGACACAAGGGTGGAAGGACAAAGCTGTAGTTCAAAATTAGGAACGTCTAGACGAAGATTTAAGAAGGTAGGCGATGGCAACGACAAGGTCAAGTGTGAATGCGGCTGCGAATGTTAAGGCTGAGTTCACGTAGTTGCAGCAGGTCCTTTTCATGAAAAGGAGAGAGAAATGTACATGGCTGAGCTGGGAAAAATAAGGCCGTTAGAGATGCTTGAGGCATGGAATAGGAGAAGACGGTAGCTATACTGGGGCATAGAAAGCGTGCTCAAAAGTGGTATCGATAAAGTATGTAGGGTAGGGAAAATATTGTTGAGCCATCCTTCGCAACATACAAAGAAACGATTCACTGTCCGTGAACTCCTTCCATATGTCATCTACAACCTTAGCCCACTCGGTGGGTTGTCAACCTCTCCTCTTGTTGTCCCACTTCGACCCCGAAGCTACTCTCGGCAATCCCTCCTCTCCCGTTTCATACCAAACTGTACTGAAACCGTAGCTTCCGTAGCTTCCGTAGCATCCTTGCGTCTCTTCCGGATCGTAGGGATCCCCAGGTCTGCCCGTACTGTTGCATTACTTGTGCGCTTGCAGTATCCTAGGTTGATGTTCGCTGCTTTCCCCCGCCTCGAGCTCCTGAACTACCTACATTTTTCTTTCCCAAACTTCCCCGCCGTACTCTAGCGGCGGCACGAAAGAGTAAGAGAGGGGGGACCAAAGTCTACGTGCAATTACGGCACGTGGGGCAAACTCGTGAAGCCGATTGGCCACTACGCACGTGCTTGAATGCCTTGCTGTTGCTACATAGTCACGTCTACCGACCATGCTCAGTTAACCCAACATGTCTCTTGATATCTGCCCGGCGATTTGGTTTAGCGGCCTGCGCTGCGAGGAACGAGATCTTCGCCTTGTGTAAAGGAAGTGCGTTGCCTCGCCCATGCCACACGACTTCCGCGCACTGTTGAACCGCGCCGAGATGCGACCATCGCCCCGCATACCGCAGCGGTTCCAACCCCTCCCCCCCCCGTACCCTCCTCACTTTTGGCTTCTCCCGCGCCATCAAGCTCTAGCAAAATCGTCGGAATGGTTGCCCTCCTCCACGTTCGTAGTGCTGTGCGATTTCTCGAAGAGAACGTAATCCGTGTCCTTGCGCAGCATAGCATCGGCTATCGCTTCCGGCCCCTCTAGCGCCGCCTAGGAATTCGCCTCTGCCACTGCCGCAGCGAGGGATGGGGCTACCTCGGAGAGTGATGGCCAAGGTGCGCCAAGACCTCGCACAACTCCGAGTCGTCCACTCGGTCCCTATCCACCACCACCGCCTTCGAGCTGAGGCCTGGCTCGTCCTACCCGGACCAACAAGAGTGCTTGCGGAACGGTCTACAGAACTGTGTGTTCGACTGAGTGAACTGACGACAAGACTACACGGGAGGCCAAAGGGAGGGGTTGTAGCTGGTGCCCAACCTCCCCGGGGTCAGGTTGGAACTTTGGGTATCGACCTTGGACAACATGTAGTCTGCGCTGCCAGCCTGCGCTCTTGGTTGGACCAACGCCGCAATCCGTGATGCGGGGCTAGCTGCATACGTCGGCCTTACAACCTGACCTTAATGAGGTTGTGGGGAGGTTGTGTACCAGATACAACCTGCCTTGGCCACCCATGCCGTCTTGTTTGCACCTGAAAGCTGAACCCTCTAAACTCCAACGAGCGAAGCCCTGGGTCGGCATGGTGGAGTCGCATTCCTTCAGAAAAAATAACGACACCAGTCCACCCGGCGGTGGGCGGAGCGCAATCCAGACGTTCTAAAAGTTGGTCTACTCGAGGGTATGATAGCAAAGACCGCTCGTTGGTCGTTGTTGAACTCTTGCCATGTTTCCACACAGCACGAGGGAGAGCCTCCACAATCGCACACCGCATACAACGGGCTTCACTGCCAACGCGAGAGCAAAATAATGTGCCCTCGTCTTAAGCTTTCCTACAGCAGCGCGACAAGTGGCAGCAGCAACAGCAGCCGCATTTGGCACCGCATATACGCCGCTACATGTACCACCGTTTCCAGTGGTTTTGTTTCCCCCCTCCCGCTCGGGTTTCTTTCGCAGTGTTTCCCTGCTCGCGCGGCTCAATGGGCCTGCTGACTGCAGCCCAACCCACCCAACTGCACCGCAGCACAACCTCAACCGCTGGAATTGGTTGTTTCGCCAAGCACCGAACCTCGATCTCTAGGTCTGGGGTTGGAAGAACCTGTCAGGACACCCCACGCATTATTGTGGATATTTCCGGACTATCCCATAGTACGGGTGTGAAGTCTAGGTGCACACTTCTGGTGTGGCGACCAGGGCTGCTCGTACGCAATACACCC